GATGAATAGAGTGCCAAGAATGATGGTATGATTAATATCTTTTGTAATGACAAATAATGTTTTAAGAGACTGTCTTTGTTAAAAATAGAGGGTTAGGTTTTGCCTGTGATATGCAATTTTGAATTGTTAGCAGCAAAGAGTTTTTCAGAGGTATTTTGTAAAAATCATTTTGGAACTACACCTTCTTTGATGCAGTTTAAATCTGCACATGTGTCAAATAAGATAATAGTATTAAGTTGGAAATCTTCTGAAAAAATTAGCATAATTTTAATCAAATATTTTTTTTGAAGATATTTGGGTTAACACATTCAAGAAACCATCTGGAATATGCTCAATATTTGTAAGTGCATGGGATAATGAATGGGATTCGATGGTTTAATATTCTGGTTCAGACTTAGTGTCAAACTGACTCTCAATTTTAGACAAAAGGTATTGTAGGATGGCAAAGTCTTTCTGTTAGGTTTGTTTTAGGGTTTGTAACTTAGATTTGAGGGTTTTAATCTCATAATGTAATTCTAAGATTATAAATGTGGTTTTGGATTTCTTCTTGTTAAGGATTTTTGTAAGGTCATAGGTATTGTTACTGATAGAGGGTAATATAGAGCGGTTTGGAGGGTTAGATAAAGGGTGCTCTGATTGGTTGAAATCTTTCAACAATTTATCTAGATAGGTTTTTTAAAGTTAGGGATTATCAAGTCTTTTGATAGCCTCAAGAATAAAGTATTGGTCTTGGGTTAAGATGTTAATTTGTTTGGAATTTGTAGAGGTATCTTAAGTAGCACTAGTAGTTGCTATTTCATCTATTTGAAATTCTTCTTCAAAAGTGTTTGAAGGAGAGGGGTCAGTGTCTTTGGCTTCAATATATAGGTTTTGTATTTGGTTAATGGTTTCTTCATCTAGTTGGAACTTATGGAGTTTGGTATTAACTTTGCAGAAACGGGATATATGGAACTTATGGAGTTTGGTATTAACTTTGCAGAAATGGGATATCTGTCCTTTCTGATTATATTTGTAACAGGTAATGTTTTTTAGATCAAATTTCAGTTTTGGTTTTAACTGGAAAGGATTATAGGGTTTTGTAACTTTTTTATAGGGTTTTTTGTAGTAGGTTTGTTCTGGTTTGGAGTAAAACTTTTTTTATATATATTTATGGGCTGATGATCTATAAGGAGGTTTTTAGCTCAAATAATTTTTGGGTTTTGAATAGTTTCCACTCCATTAGAGTTTTTTGGTGGAAATGTCAAACTGATGATAAAAATTACCAAGTTCTTGCCTGGTTTGTTTCATTTCCCACTTTAAATATTTTTGGAGTTTGAGGTCCTAGTAGATCTTAAGGCCTTGTTTTTTAGTTAAGCTCATAAGTTCACCATATGTAAGCTGGTCATATGGTATGGTTTCAGTTGTAAATATATCTTTAATTTTGTTTCTGACCTTTTCTCCTAAGAGAATAAGTACGCCTACAAGGAATTTTTCTTTCTAAAAAGATTGGTTTGAATCTTCCCGAAGCATTACGCTGATAAGGATGGTGTGTTTTGTACCATTGAAAGTCACTTAGCTTATTACACCTAAAATTGGAAAGGAGTTTATTATTTTTGTCTTTCAAATAGGAAAGGTCTCCAACAAAAAGGGAATTGTAAAAATAAGAGTTGATACAACATCTTGGATAGTGTTTCTAGATGGGTCACAGATGGGTACTTGGTCTTCATACATTTGGAAGGAGTTTAGGATATGTAGGTGGTCGGTTTTAATGAGATGCTAATCCCACCATCCTTTTAATTGGCCAAAGAAACCAACAATAAACAATTCAGCAATAGCTTTGTTTGGGGTTCCTGTTTGGGTTTTGTAAGCATTGGCTGCCATAGTCATCTGTTGAAGGGTGTTGATGATGTTGTAATCTGACATTCCATCTATATTTCATTCATAGAGGGAAGAGGCATTATATTTATATTGTTTGAGGATAGATGGTTCGGTAGATATGGAAATGTTTGGGGCAATGGTTATTTTGGGAGCTTGCTAGATAAGTTTGTTTAATTCCAGAGGTTGGTTTGGAGAAGCATCTTCATCAGAAGACTGCTCAAAACTATTTTGTAGGGTATTGACTAGATTTATGGATGTAGAGGGGTTAGTTGTTTGTAGTGTTTCTGGGACAGTTAAGGATGAACTATCAAGGTGTTGTAAGTGTGTTTTCATGGCTTTAAGTAAATCTGTATGATTTTCTTGGATTTGTATTTGGCTTGTTTTTGTAATTTAATAAGGTTTAGAGGTTAGGTTTTTTAGCTTTAGATCGATTAAGATTTTGGTGTCAACTAAACTGATAGTAGTTCTTTGTATTTGTTTTTCTAGTCAGGTAAGATGTTTACCTAAGGTATTGAGGTTAATGTTTGTAAAGTTATTTTGGTGGATGATATATTTGGTTTTGAAAAAGGTGTCATCACTAGGTAATTTATAGAGAGCTGTATCTATAATCTAGTTGTTATGGGTTATATGGATATTTCTCTAGGATGAATGTTTAAACTCAACTTTTGGTCCACTAGTGAGGTTTTATATAGGGTTTTAGATCTTAATATAACTGGGGATGCATGTTTGAGGGATGCAAAAGGGTATGTAATATGATGTTCAGATGCATAATACAATTCAAACCAATCAAAGAATAGAATTTATACTTTATATAACTCAATAAAATTATAAAACTATTTTTGTAGCTCACTTCTCTGTTGAAGGAAGTGCTATAAAAAACCAGTTTTGTTTTGCAGAATTATGGGCATCATAAAAATCTTTTTTTTTAAAGAGTTTTGTTAGGAATAAAATGTTTTTTTGAAGTCAAAACATTCAGCTCATTTTAGATGTTTTCAGTAACTGCTGAAAAGGTTAGTGATGTTGGGGAAGATGGTTATTCAATGTCTATATAAACAGGTTTTGGTATATTTGTAATATAATCTGCATTTTAGAAACTAGTAGAAGGGATATTAGAAGTAAATTTTCTAGGAGGATTAGCGTAATAAGGGATATTGATAACATAAGGGATTTTAGAAATTCTGCCCAAGTCTATTGTATTGGAAGAAGATGAGTCTTCTAAGAATCTGGAACTTGTAGAGTGTTGATGGAAAGACAATTTGACTTTGCCATCTGTGTACTGGGTAATGTTTTTTATTTGGACATTGGGTTGAGGTGGTTGGAGTAATTCTGATTGTACCACTCTTTCAAGGATCCAATCTTCTAGAAGGGATATATCTTTCTATTGGATTGCTTTTGGGACAATAATGTTTGAGTGGGGTAAATCTATTTATAGACAATAATGTTTGAGTGGGGTAAATCTATTTGTAGGAGTATTTCTTCTTTTTGGGATTGAAATTTATGTTTGTTGACAAAGGTTGAGAATATGGCTTTATAATGGATTTTAAATATAAGAGTAACAAGGATTGATTCTTCTAGCATGTCATAACTATAGGTCTTTATTTGTAGTAACATACTTTGCAAGATACTTTTATCTTTGAAGGATATAGTTAAGTTTGAATAACAATCAAATGAAACCAGGACATTGCAAAGGCTAAACTTAATAGAACTTAGGAGTAAGTCTTGAAAGTTTTAAAATCTAGCATCTCGGAGGATAACTAGAATAGAGGTGTTTAAACCTTTTTTTGTTAGTGGTTTTATCCCAACTTGGACAAGACCAACATGGATATATTTATAATTTCTAGCCAGATTTTTTAAAGGATTTTTTAGAGAGAAGTTGGATGGTTTCAAAAAATTTTGTAAACCGAATATCTCTTTTTGTGGTTTTGATAGTAAAATCTATTTGGAAAATATCATATTTGGATTTTTGATAAATTTGTGTTTGAGAAATATTTGAAATTTTCCATTCATCAATGTTTTTTCTAAAATCTTCAATTTTTATCTCTTTACTTTGTACAATCCTTCTACTTTTAAAAGTTTCAGAGGTAAAGGAAGTTGAAATAGAATTAATCTTATGAAAAACAGAATCCATGGATTAAAAAGATAAACTAGAAAATAAGCTGCAAGTTATATGAATTTATTGCCCTAAATCTCCAATAAGATTTACACCATTCAGTAGCATTCATCTATTTACTAATGATCTCTTATTTTTCTAGAGTTTTTGTATCTTACATTTCTATTCCTACACAAATCTCAGTAGACTTGGATACTAGTTTTTGAATGTCATTGTGATTTTAAAATTGAAATCCAAGTTTTTTTATCTTAAAAATTTGTTTTTAAATTTATTTTCATTTAAAAATACCTAAATGGCATTCTAGAAACTTAAACAAATCCATTTCTAAACCCAAAAAACTTTTAATCTCTCTAAAAAAATAAAATTAAACAAATTTAAAACAACTTTAAAAATTCTAATTTTTTTTAGCATGATTAGAAGGTTATATCACCTCCATTAAATTTTTATCAAACAAATAAATTTATTAACACTAAAATGAACTTTTTTGATAGCTAGAATATCATCATCTAAGCACTTTCTATTTTGTCTTTCAACTTCTAGAGACTAAAATATAAAAAGAATTGGTTTGAAATATAAAGTACTAAAACAACATGCACCAAACAATATATAAAATAAAACTTTAAAAGTTGGTTTGTTATTTTTTTTAATTTCTTTGTTCAAGAATTAATAAAGTTTTATTATGTAAAATCAATCTTTTAATTTATCATTGCTATTTTGTACATGCAAGAGAATGCAAATATTAAAAAATACCAATACATAAAATAAAATCATGCTATTGTAACTTGTGAGGATGAAATTGTAAATGAAAAAAGTTTGATGATTAAAAAAAAACAATGCTCTTATGAACCGTGCTTTTCCCAATTATTTTGGTAAATCTGGTTATATATATATATCTGCTACTGTGTCCAGGAATGTTTTGATTAATATTACTATTTAAGAGCATTTCTAATAATTTAGTGAAACAGCATATATTTACACAACATTCAAAACGCTACATGACAAAAAAAAGGTACGAACCTAACGAAGCAGGTTTTGTTTCCCTCTCTCGTCATCAAACTCGGATGTTTTCCTTTTCGTCCGTTTCCCACTAAACGGCCCTATTTCTATGCCCCAAGTTTTTTAATCTTTTTAAACAATCACAGCCCCCCCATCTCTCTCTCTCTCTGCCTCTGTCAGTGTAGGGAAATCCGGAAATGAAGGCAAGCTCAAATCTTCTTCATCACAATTCCAAATCCTCTGTGTGTGTGTGTGGGGGGAAAGATAGATTTCTTTTGTTTAAACCACAAACCCCATAAAACTTTACTTTTCTTTTTTGCAGGGATCAAATGGTTTCCGTAGTGTTCTCTCTATCCAACTTCTCTTCATTGTACTTTGTCTATTCATTGCCAGTTCTTCCAGCCTCAAGGTCTTGATTTCTTTAGCAAACCCAAGTTACTATTATTAGCATCTTTCATTGAACAAGAAAAGAAACTCGTGTTTCCTTCATGTTTTGTATTTCAAATTCTATGATCAATGAAACAGATGGGAGAGACATGTTCATCTAACAGCAGCTGTGATGCCGGATTAAGTTGTCAAAGTTGTTCTGCTAATGGAAATACCCGACAGAGATGCACCAAGATCCAGCCATTGATTCCATCATCAAAAGTTGGTTCTTTCTTTCTTTCTTTGGTGTTTGATTGCTACACTATATAGTTTTGGGATTTTTCAATGTTTTGATTAGAAAAGAATTGCATTTGGTTAGGTCAAGGGTCTGGCATTCAATAAGTATTCATGGTTAACAACACACAACTCTTATGCTCTTATGGATGCTCTATCAGATACTGGTTCACCTCTGTTCTCTCCTAGAAATCAAGAAGACACGGTTACTACACAGCTTAAGGTAAGAGACTCGGTCTCTGCATTTGGTTTTTGACATTTTTAATTCACTGAAAATATTAAAAAAAAAAAGGAAGAAGAAGAAGAAAAAAACACTTCTCTTTTGACTTTTTAGGTCAGTTTGCTTTTTTCTTACTCGGGTATGAGGTCGCATATTGATATGTGTCCCATTTAGGTGCAAAGAGGGCATGTGTTAGTTTTGTAGGGAAAGTGGTTTGGTATTTGAGAATCAAAATAAAGGCAAGCATTGTTGAAAATTGCTGCATTGCATTGCATTGCCCAGTTGGCCTGTCTATGATTATTGTCCTTTGCTTGTAAATTAAGCGTCGAAGCTGTGGTACTGTTATGGCGTCTTGGACTAAAATAACAAGCTAATGCTTAACTAAGCTAAATGGATCTTAAGATTCTTAACACTTCTTTTTTTCCCTTTTAAAGCTTATATAATTGGCATTATTTTTCCGCTAAGAATGGTACTTTCTTGTAGAATGGGGTTCGGGGACTCATGCTAGACATGTATGATTTCATGAATGATATCTGGTTATGTCACTCCATTGGTGGTACCTGTTACAACTACACAGCATTTGTAAGTTAATCCTTCCATGTTGCTTAACTTTCACTGGCATCCATTTAATGCTTTAAAAAGAGTGTCACTATTTTTAAATTGACTGTGCACCAACTATGATTATCTCCAGCAACCTGCAATCAAGGTGTTGAAAGAGATAGAAACCTTTTTGGCAGCAAATCCATTAGAGGTTGTCACTATTTTTATTGAGGATTATGTGACATCCCGACAAGGCTTGACAAAGCTTTTTAATGCTTCTGGCCTAAGAAAATATTGGTTTCCTGTATCTAAGATGCCTAAAAAGGGTGAAGATTGGCCAACAGTTGATGATATGGTCAAGCAGAATCAGCGTTTAGTGGTCTTCACTTCCAAATCAAATAAAGAGGCTACTGAAGGAATTGCCTACAATTGGAAATATGTAGTAGAAAATCAATGTAAGCTCGTGTTCATTACATGTGATCAAAATGTATATCATCATTAACTATTCAGTTAGGATAGCTAAGAGATCGTTAAATCATTTGATGGTGACTTTAACGCAGATGGAGATGATGGGATGAAAGCAGGTCTATGTCCAAATCGAGCTGAATCATCTCCTATGAACACAAAAACGGTATCCTTGGTTCTTCAGAATTACTTTCCTACTAATCCAAACGTAACAGGAGTTTGCTTGGACAATTCAGCTCCATTAATTAGCATGACCAATACTTGCTATGAAGCATCTGGCAAACGGTGGCCAAACTTCATTGCTGTTGATTTTTATCAGGTATTTTGTTGATTTGCATTCAATAGATTATCACAACAGAAGAGATATACTTAATCGAACTTGCAGCAATTCTTAATCATAAGAAACAGAATTGCAAAGTAGTTTTCCTATTGATGTTTTTGATTTGTTGTTCCAGAGGAGTGATGGTGGGGGAGCCCCAGAAGCTGTGGATGAAGCAAACGGACACCTTACTTGTGGATGTGACAATATTGCCTTCTGCAGGGTATGTTACCACTCCTATTTGCTTCAATTATCATTTAGGGTTAGCTTGTCCATCATATTTCTTATCAATTGCCCATCCGCGTGTCATGCTTTTGCATGTAGATTTTCAAGAATAGGTTCACAAAATCAAGCAGGGATACACAAGTTTGGAAGTGACACACAAACGACATGGTTTATAATTTTTCAAGCATCCATGATTAACTTCCAATACCTCCAATAATGAGTCATTCATGTGCAGGCAAATGCTACATTTGGTACATGTGATGTTCCACCAGCTGCACCTCCTCCACCTGCTGCTGCTGCTGGAGGAAACTCACGAGTTCCTAGTGTCACTCCCTCCAACGTTGCTTCTTTGGATAGGAAGCCGGTTCAACTATGGTGGCTGATCGGAACAATCTTGATGATGGCACTTCTATTATGATTGTAATTATGCTGATTTGCGCATTTACACGTAACTTTTTAAACCTTTCAGAAATATTGTTTGATGGATGAATTTTGCCATACTCGTGACGTCCTCGTATCGATGGTTGCTGTCTATAAGATAATGGTATACATCGTACACACATTATTATTTGATGATTTATGTGCTTTGATTTGCAAGCGCATGACAAATCCTTTCGGGAGAAGTTACAGGTTTCAGGGGAATTGAGTTTATACCTAAAATAAATTTACTTATGTGAATCCTGAAAAAACAATGATTGTTCAATATAAAAATAAAAAAAAAACAAAAAAAAAAAGAAGAAGAAGAAGAAGCGGAAATCAATTATGAACAAAAAGAATTAACCATATTAAAAGAATCCATTATCGATCAAAAGAGTTGGAGAAGTATTCCAATAATTAACCAAGTAATGTATAACCAACAAAGCAATGTTTAACCCAAAAAAAAAACAATTAAAAAATAGAGTTTAAATATGTGCAGATAACTAGAAGATACAATTATATTCAAAAATAGAATAATTAATAAGATAATAGATTAAAAATTACATATTAGTCTAAGATTAGATATATATCGCTACAAGATGAGTTTAGCTTGTATCAAGATTTAATAAAAAAATTTATTTGATACTAATTTTTTGTATAGAATTAGAAATATCAACGTAAAAAAAAAAAAATCAAACTATGTAACATAATAAATTGAGTCAAATAATATTGTAAATGATGGTTAGCTCGGCATATTCCATTCATATAATTTTACCTATCTTTTTTTCTTTAAAGGATTGTTTTATTTTTTTATTTTTTATTTACAATTTTATATACAACTCTTTTTTTTTTTATCTTCTTGCACTTTACTTTTCTATAATCCTTTTCTTCTTAAAACCCCTATCTTTTTCCTGCATGGTGATGCTTCTTAGAACATTAATATTATTAGCCCTTTATGGTGGTTCAAAATCTAGAGTCATTACTTCCCATTTGATAAAGGTAATTGTTACCTGTTCAATCCTAAGTAAGATTAAATTGGAAACACAATACCTAGCAAGACAAGATTCATCATTTATTCTAGAAACCATTAAAACATGTTATTCATTATTGTTGCACGGGACTAACAGTTAGCATAAATAATAAAGAGAGGTTAGCTTATTATCCATGAAAAGCCTAATAATCTACCATCGTTATAAATTCTGGCGAATCAACCGGTATTAAATATGCCTAAAGATGTTCATCATCTAACTCTCTATTACAAAATAAAATTATATGTGAATACATTCATATTATCTTTATATAGTTCTTTATGTGTCCATTAATTATAATGGAGCCATCATAATAAACAATATATGTGTGTATTGGTGCATGAGTACCCTATACACAACCATACACATATTCATTACATGAGTTAGTTGGCTTTATACAATGGTCATAACTAGCTATGAGAAATTTTAACTAAACATCCACAGTTTCTCTTGAATGACCATTTTATTATCAATTTATAAATCTTTTTTACAAGTATAAAGGATATTGAAATAGAGATGGAGAACATAACAACATGATATATCATAATTATATAGATGTGGTCAATCAAACCATACAGGTTATATTTGATCAGTTTAATTAAATATAAAATATATTTAGTAATGCATAGACCTACACATTTGAGGAATATCCTTTAGAATTCTGCAACAATGAGCACTTAGTGAAGGTGTTTGAAATAAATATACCTTATACAATAGTGTATTTCTCCATATGTCACACATAACAAGAAACATAACTCAACCTAGATATGATAGATACAACAAATATAACTCAACCTAGACATGATAGATCATAACACATCAATCGTTTTTTCTAACATACAAACAACCATATGGTGAATCTCATAGATATATTGGACATCGAAAAATAAATTATTCACTAAAAATAGATGAAAATTGTGAATTGATATGATAAATCTTCATTGAGCACCACAAAATATGGATGATGGATAAGCTGAGATTTAGGACATGTTAATTGAATTTAATCTATGAATTAAATATGAGCATAGACCAACCTTTATAAGAGCTAGTAGACCAAAAAAAGCTTTGTAAGGAATTGGAAACATTGCAACACACTTATAAATATTGTTTTGCCTAGAATTATGATGAAATACTTGGCTTAGATAGAGTTTTGGTTGGACATCCTTTACCAATCACACTTAAATTTAAGCTATAAAGACAACCTTCATAAATAACATCTCTAAACATGGTTGATTGTGTGAAGGAAGAAGTCAAATGGCTTTTAAAAGCTAGATTTATAAAGCTAATAAGATATGTTGAGTGGATATCCAACAAAGTACTGGTATTAAAAAAGAATAACAAATTAAAAATATGCATAGATTTTAAAAAATACAAATCTTACAATTATAAAAGATGAATATATTATTATAATATATGATATATTGATTGATGTAGCATCAAAAAATGAAGTACTTCACTTCATAAATGGTCACTCTAGTTATAACCAAACTTCAATAGAAAAATATGTTTTCAAGACTTAGAAGAACTTACTCTAGTAATAGGTTTATTAGTATTAAATGGTGAAAGATTTCTCTTAAAAGCATTAAGATTCAATTTAATTATTTTATAATGACCAATAACGTTAGAAGGTAGCATTTTAACAACTTCAAGAGCTACTGCAATAGTGGAAGGTGACATTGTATTTTAAAAAAATAAGCCTTTAATCAAAGACAATATGTATAACACATCTTAGTTATCATCTTTGTTAATGGAACTAAAAAAAATAATGCAAAAGCAATCAATATCTCCTAAACAACAATGAAAAAGAAATGAACTAAAACGTTAAAATACTTATTAAGATATTAGATGGTCTTTAATAAGATATATTACTAAAAGCTTTTTTTCTCAAATAGATAATAAGAGTTTTATCTTCACTATTTTATTTTGGAATAGGAGAATGTTGGGTCCTCATATAATTCATTATTAGTCTAAATTGAGAACTCGTGATAAGCTAAGTTGTGCATAAGAACATATAAAAAAAACATAAGCAAATAACAAATTATGATTGAAATAATTAAAGATAAATGTTATTTCCTAAGATTTCTCAAGTAGGCTTTTTTTTATTTAAAAAAACTATCAAAGATTTTTATTTTAAGGCCTTTACTAGAAGACTTTTCATTGCAAGATTACCTCATTACCATTTCTTATAAGAAAAATGTATATAATATGTATATAGTTTTCTTGTATAAAAAGAAAAATCATAGATGTATTATGTATGTTTAAGTAGGGAAGTGGTGTTCAACTATTTTATAAACTTCTTCCACTCTCTCTAGGTTGTTAAAAGTTATCTTATCTAAACTAACTTGTTTATAATATAATATATTGGAAGATGAATGTTTTTGATAAATTCTAATCGTATTGCAATAAAATAAAAATTATAGGGCTAACAATAACATTAATTATTCTTTGACACTTGATTAATTGCTAGCTCAAAGTGTAGATTCTTATATATGAGAAAACTCCTTCAAACCATTTATATCCTTCTTAGAATTAAAATTTTGGTACAGGGAAAGGCCTTCGGAAGCTTTGTCTTCATAAATGTAAAGGAAGATATTAAAACACCAATCCTTTTTATAAAAGACATAAGGGGTTTTGTGTATCTTATAATAGAATTATTCTCAAAAGAAGCATTTAAAAGGCTATTTCCTTTATAGATAAAGTCTAGATTTAAGATTTCTCTAATGTTACTAAATTCTTCAAAATAGGTAATTGTTCATGTGTGTACCCACCACAAGATTCCATAAACATTATATTTCATCATAAAATGGTGATCTCCGTATATGGTTTGGCATTTTGGTCCTAGGGCAATTATCCTACCTTTAATTAAAATGATTGATATCTTCAAATAAGTTTTGATTGGTTTCTTAAACCTAGAGTATATCAGGTATCTACATATCTAATATAATAGGAAGGTCATATGTTTTCCATTAAAAGTCAAGTTTATCTTTTCTCTCATTATTTTCATTAATAAATTAAATTTAAGAACACTTAACAGCAAGTCTTGGAAAGGACTTGCAGAATTTAAGTAGAAACATAAAACTTCTCACTTGTTGTGTATAAACCTCTAATTAAAGTCGGGTCATGCAAAGTAATAGTTTGCATCTTATAACTAAAAAGAAAAACATGATTAGATTTTGATCAAAATAGAAAAATAATAGCTAAAAGTTCTTTGTGAGGTTTGCTGGTGATTCTAATTAGCTAAATGAAATCAAAGATCTTTTAATACTTTCATTGTTTATCGAAGCTTTCTTTTCTTTTGCCTAACAAAGTAATGTAATTGGTAAGGGTAGTTTTTAAAATTAACTAATTAATGGAAACATTTCATATGTAAAATATGATTAATTGATTTTAAATAAATAATGATATTTTTCATATCATACTTAGTTGATTTAATTAATCAAATTCAATACAAGAATGATAGGGTTAATATTCCTTTATTTGAGAAATAAAGTAACATGAGGTGCATTGTTTACATCTAAAATTAATATATCATATAGAACAATGATTTCAACACAAAACAATGAAAGATAATTGATATTAATTATGAATAAAAAAACTTGACCATATTGGATGAGTCTTTGATCAACTAGGAATTGAAAAAGTCATCGACCTAATGATTAAGAGTTATATTCGACCAAAAGAAAGTGATCAGCCAAAAAATTTTGAATACACTCAGCTAACTAATCAAAAGTCAAAAACTAGTTTGGAATTAATACAAGTATCAATGAGTTTGGCTTGTATTAAGATTTAATATATTATTTTTTATTCTAATACTAATTCTATATAATACTAGAATTATCCATGTAAGCATGATTTAAATTTTGTAATAATATAAATAGGGTCAGATACTATTATAAATGATGATCAATCTTAAATATTCAATTCCTATAATTTTATCTTCTTCTTCTTTTCTTCTAGAGAGTATTTATTATGTTTTTTTATTTTCATAAGCTTTAGTTAATAGTAATCATTTTTCCTTAATTTTTATTTTTATTTTTTGTATAATGGTGCTTCTTGGAATAGATAGCCCTTTTTTAGGATTCTAGATCTAGAATTCCTATTATTTTTTTTTAAAAAAAAAATAGATATCACTTTCACTTCCAAGTAAGATTTAATTGGCAACAATAAATGTTAAAGCATAGAACCATCATTAAATCTTTCAAGTCTATTCGGGTGGAATTATAGTTATGATTAGATGAGTGTAACCTAAGTGAAATTATTTTTTTAAATAAAAAATATATTTTTATTAAAACTACATGCTGATATGTAGCATGTGATTAAATTTTATTTGAGATTTAATTTTATTTAAAAGTGTAACTTAAACAGAGTTTTGTTAAAATTTAAAAAAAAATATTTAAAATTAATTTTATTTATATGTTTGGATCGTTTTAATATATTAATATTAAAAAATTAATATATATTATTTTAAAGTAATTCAGAGTAAAGATATTTTTAAAAATAATTATTATTATATTTCCTAGCATATCCGAACCCCTTAATTATGGATGTGATGGTGATTGAAATTCTTGTGCGAACTCATGGGAAATTTAGAGGACCGATACTTATGTCAATGCATATTACATCATTCAAGTTGTATGGAATAATGAAAAGTTATCACTGAAGTAAAGTCCACTTTGTTATAGACATCGACATTACAGCAACCCCACCTTAGTGTAGTAATTTTGATAATTAGCAGTAGTCCTCTCGAGTAGATGCGAGTCATGTGACAGTAGGCGGATGTAATTTGTTGCTTTGCAAGAACAAAAGAGCTATGGATCAATGAAAATTTAAAAGCTGTTGTTTATGAATTGTAAGAAAAATCCCCTGCATCGGAGTCTAGCTTGTTGCTGATCACAACTGAGTGCAGATAGGAGTACAAATGTGCATCGGTAAAAGGTGCTTGAACTTTAAACTTACCTTCTGCTGTTGCCCGCCCAGATGTAATGTTCTTGTTGGTTGGTGTTGTGCTCCAGACTGTCGTGAAGGAGGGCAATGCAAACTGAAAGCACATGCTCATAACCAGCTAAGCATAGATGTCCTGTTCAAAACCAGACCTGAGAGGACCTTGCTTTGTTTGTCGGTGTGGTGCACCGCGCTAGCAAACGGAATTTTGATCTTGGTGCAAGAAAGTTAGCTCGAGAATATCCTCACATGATTATTGTATTAAGTCGTCATTTCATCATCCATGACAGAACACAATTAACCATGAAAAGTACACAGATTGTTACAAATAAATTGTGAATGACCATTCTTGGTTGTAGACATAACCTCTGTATAGAAAGTGATGATCCATTCACGTCAATGTTTTGCACCCAGTTCTATAATCTAGTTGGAAAAATTAAGGACAAATTCGTTCTGTATAGCGCTTTCAGAGAAATGCAAGAGCATCATCTAATGTTGTATGTGAAATGAACATAAATGGGGCCTTGTGAACAGAGAAAACGACTTCGATTTGAATGAAAAATCATGCGGATGTTACTCAATTTACAGGAATCATATAGCTGGTAGGCATGGGGGCTGTCAGCATAGCCAACCCAACTAGAACTCCACTATGGTTCCACAGATACATTCTGTATGTAAAATTTCTGTCAATCGCCACCATTTGACAGTATCCTCAAACTTCTTTAGCTGTAGTAAATTTTGACTGGGGAAAAAATTATGTAGCTACTGGTTACTCTTTCTTGGGTAAAAGTTTTCTGCTAACATGTCCCAAAAAGGACTTGCTGAAACATGTATTCCTTACCAAATTGATGAATGTCTAGCAACAGTAAGATAATTCACCGAAGAACATGCATGGCTTCTAGCTGAGGTGACCTTCTATGATTAACACCCGTCAGCATCAAGTTACAGAACAACTTAACAAGTCACAAGGCATTGTGACTTGTCCTAAAAGGCAGGACCAGAAAGCCATATGGAGGGGCCCCAAGATTCCAACAAGAGAAGGCTAACATTCCTGGCTAGTGGCTGCAAGGATTAAGTCCCCACTCTACTGGAACATCAACTAGCAAGCCATGTTACTCTAAGGGACACTAAATAATGAAAATATGATCCAATCCCAACCTACTTAGCTGGAAAAGTTGTCTTATTCATTAAATATACAGGCTTTGATGCTGACAATTGATACATCAAACATTCATGATTTTCATGTTTAATGTAACGCAACTCAAGCATTTACCAGTCTCTTCAGAGTTTTGGCAAGTAACTCAACAGTCCGTAACCCCTACATGCGCCAATTCTGCAACAAGAATATCTCAACAATCTCATTTCAGTTTACTCGGATACTTGGTAATAATAATTATCCAAAATTAATTTGTAATATGTGACAATCTTATATTTTCTTAAAAACGATCGAGCGTGCCTGTGAATTACATGAAGATCTCAAAGCTTCTAAACAAAAGGCCCTTGATTTTGACATTTGAATTGAATCTTCCTATGGAGCACATGCTACGCAGCCATAGAAGCTACCATTAATAGAGGGAAACATAAGTGATAGCAAAAAAATTGGATAATGTAGTAGGCATTTTGCACAAGGCCAGCATCTAGATGAAGCAGCAGGCAGTAAAATATTCCTCATCCACCTCATGAAGCTCGGTTAAATCTCCCCAGTGGATTGTTTATCGGCATTCTTGATGTCTTCATCTTGCCTCGTCAGCGTGCAGCCCGCTTTCACACTAATTTCCATCACCTCCTTGGGGCTATCACAATGTGTGCGTCCCAGGTCCTTTCCTCCTCTACGCTCCTAAAACCACATAATCAGACTTCGAAGGAGTAAATAAAGAGATCAAGGCTATTTGAAATAGAAATTGGCATGAAAGAAAATTACAAAATTTAACTTTTGCATGACATAGCTGCAACGTATAAATACACTAATAGCCTTTTATTTTGTAAACCTAATGGATCCAGATTTCAACCGATCTCAAATAAGTAGGAAAAAGGAGGGAAGGAAATAGGTCATCAAACCATGGATGCGAACTCATAAACGAATCATATGGAAAAAGAAATGGCAAGAATTTGTGGCATTACATATATGAATGAAATTGGAGATAAGTAGCTAATGAATCTTCCCAATAAACATTGCTGCCCGAAGTCAGATGCTGAGCAATTCATTATTTACCAAGTCCTTGCTCCATTTGGCAATGTTTGTTACTTTAGTGTTTTGATGTGACAGTGAACCAAGTAGTAATGCCAGCTTGATCTTTATATAACGTTGAAAAGAACATCTCTAAACTTCGGCACATTACCAAAAAGTGTGATTTGAACTGAAATTGTCAACTAGATCGAATACATACTTCTCTGAAGGGGGAGTCGTCAGCTTCGAGCATGTGTACAATATGGCCCATTTTTGGTCGTTTCTGTGCATTTGGGTCTACACAGCGTAAAGCAACAAGAAGAGCCCGCTTTAATGCCCTCAAAATAGGCTTCTCGGGTAGTTTGGGATCCAATACCCCCTCTGGATTCCTGTTACTAACCATCCTTTTAAGCCAATCGATCGAGTTCACCTGAAAATTCTTCATTTAATGAAAAACATATCGAGAAGAACAAAAGGGGGAAAATACTTCTCTGAGATTAATCATTTATCTCATTTGAATATATCATCACAAAAATGAAAATGATATATAGTGCGAACCTCTTCTGGAGGCCGGCTATAATCCACCGGGTTCCTTCCAGACAAAATTTCCATGATAAGAATCCCGAAACTGTACACATCGCTTCTTTCATTCAGCATGCCTGTGCTTGCATACTCAGGAGCTACATATCTACAAAAGCACAAAAATTATTACTTCTCCAAGCACGAACACGAAAAAAATGAACGCACCCAGAGAGAGTCTACAGACCCAAATGTTCCCATTACACGGGTTGTAACGTAGCTGCTATCTGAACAAAGGAGCTTGGCAAGGCCGAAGTCAGAGACTTGGGGATTCCACTGCTTGTCAAGTAGAATGTTGCTCGATTTTATGTCACGGTGGACAACTTTTGGTTCAAGTCCATCGTGAAGGTAAGTTAACCTGCATCAGTGTTCATTTGTTACCTCTATTGCATGGATGATGAGCAGGCAATCGGAATTTATAGAAGCGCTGTATGACAGGTGTTAACTGCATTAGGATCATACCCTTTTGCAGTTCCCAAGATGATTTTCATTCTAATTTCCCAGGTAAGAGGACTGCAAGGCCCTACGTCACCATGAAGCCATTGTTCCAAGTTCCCGTTGTTCACATATTCATACACGAGCATCCTACGAAACAAGAAAACAAGCAACTATTGTTTAAAATTATTTGACAATATACAATAACCACATTATTTTGGCAGTAATATAAATTAATTTCATTCTGAAATACCAAAAATACTGAACCTAGAAATAATGAAGCATGGTTAAATAGGCAAAAAGTACCTTTGAGCTCCTTCGGCACAATAACCAAGCAATCTTACTAAATTCTTGTGTCTGACTCTTCCAATGGCTTCCACTTCAACCTTAAATTCTCTCTCAGCCTGTCCCCTATCAATCAACATGAATTTGAACAGTACTATCAATAACCAATTCATTATCATAGATAGCAACACTCAAAAAGACGCATCAAACACATAAAATTAATTCAAAATTAGAGCTGAAATTCAAACACCAATACAGTTCAAAACAATAAACATGGGATTAAAATTTCAAAAGGCTACCTGTTATTGAGCAAGTTCTTGACAGCAATCTCAGTTCTATCCTCTAAAACACCATGATAAACAATCCCATACCCTCCCTCGCCAATCACATTCTCATGAGCAAAAGAATTAGTAGCTACCTCAAGCTCTCTCAAAGTATACCAATGTCCCCACCCCAAATGGGACACCTCAGGCACCACCATAGCAGCCACATGCTCACCGCCACCGCCACATGGTGCTTCCCCAGAAGAACCATGGTAAGAAATCAAACGCCCTTTTCCAATATCAATCTGAGCCCCATGATAGCTCATTGGACTTTCCTCTTCCGGTGACATAAGCAACAATAAATCTTCCCTTTTCTTTCTAGACATCATTTCCTGGTCTTGAAATTGAAGGGCTTCGATTTGTCCCCTGTTTGGCTTAACGGGTTGGTCAATTCTGATTTCTCGAATCTCTTTAGTCACAATCGGAATTTTGGGTTTCTTTTTTGCACTCCTCCTGGACTTTTTTGAAGCAAGCCAGAGAGTAATAAAGAAAAGCAGCAATACAATGGTTGTCCCTACACAGACACCAAGAACAACCCATAATCTTAAACCGAAAACTGAAGTTGGTCTTGATAACTTGTCGGTCATAAGACCTGTTTTGTGTTCAGACATTGGAGCCTGGAACTATCTTTGAGCCAGTAGTAAAACAATTCAGTGAAAATCAAATAGGGGTTTGTTGCATGTCTACATTTTGTCACAATGTGTAGGTTATATAGATGAAAAGAAAAGGTGAAGTCGCATTGCCGAGAGAGACAGGCAGCAGCTGGCATGATGGGACTGATTATTTATGGAATTAGGAAAGAATGACAGCCACCCACCCACACTAGCTTCAGGGTAGTTCGTCATTAGGAGTTAAAGATTTTGCTTCGAGTACTTTTTCTCTGAAGTCGGCTGCCTTCCCAGGTGGTACTAATTTTTTTTTCTAAAAATAAAATATTTAAATTAATTTTTTATATTTTAAAATTTTAATCTTAAGATCATGATGTAAAACAATGAGTATATCTTAAAATTATTTATAAATAATATTTAATTTTGATTGACATTCTATCTAGCCAGATTGAGCACTACTTAACTAGATTCTCTGCAACAACAAAATTTTATACCTTGGAACTTGTCGTTAAATATGGAGCTTTAATCTTTATGTCATAATGATAAGAAATTCTACACAGCATTATAAACCAATCCACCTTATTTTAATGATGAGAAGGTAATTATGTTTCAGGGGAGGAAAAATAAAAATAAATTTATATATTGGTTTATAGAAAAAAGCTATGATTAGATATCAAATTACAGATTGACCAAATATTTGGGTGTAACT